ATGATTTTAAATACAAAAAGAATTCACAACTCCTTTTGAAGAAATTTCCCCGCAAAAGCTAAACAAATGCCTTCAAAAGTTTTAATTGTCGGCAAGAAAAAGCGACGGCCGCGGCCGTTCGGTCATTACGCGCCAAAATTGTAATCGTTGGCAACAGTATTTGAGTTAAAAATCGTCGTTTTTGTGCTCAATTATCTCACTGTTTTAGTATATACTAAAACAATTATTCACCTCAGTGTCGGTGGCTAGTCGTGGTGGATATTTACCTCACTGCTTCGCAGTTCGGTAAATATCCAGGACTAGCCACCTCCACTTCGGTGAATAATTGTTATCTGTTGCGGGTAGTGTTGAGCTCACAAACATAGCCTTTTTCGAGTCCATGTCGGGCATCTTTGGAAACCAATGCAGCCTTGGACACGACTAAGGCCTAGGCCAAGCGTTGAACTTTTCATGAGAGGAACCAGCGTTAGTGAGTTAAGTTCTTGAAAAGGTCGACGTCTGATTAAGTTCGTCTTAATGAGTTTGGATCGTCCAACACGTTCTATCCGTCTGCTTCAGACGGGTTATATTGTGTCTTGTTTGGCTAAAATTGCTTGTTTGTCTGATTCAGTTGATTGGTTAAACGGGTCCTAAGTTCGACCCAACAGACGTTCTTAACTTAATTTAGGTCGACCCAAATTAGCTCAAATTAGAGTTTGGTTCGTCTCATGGAAAGTTTGACGTTTTCCGTTCGGCCTAGGCCTAAGACATTTCTAAAAAATACGGTAACAACGGGAGAGGTTTGCGCGCTAGCATAAGGTCACAGTCAAGTGGAACCGATGAATTTTTCATTAGAAGGTATGTCTTTTTCCTTAGGAGGTATGGTTGACTCAAGGAATTCTTGGCCTAACCATGTGTCTTACTCAGGTTGATTCGTCAAAGCACCACTAAACTATAACCTTCGCTTTACAGTTCAACGAAGTACAATAAGCTAACAGTAATGAGATAACACTGACGAAATTGATACAATTGATTCTTAAATGGCTGTTAACCCTTGACTAAACAAAACATTTCTAAAAAGTGGTTTAGGGTCGTTTAGCAATACGGACAAGCATTACTCTTAAAAGTGACCCGCGCTTTTGTAGCCTCATGGTCAGCACGGTCAAGGTTGTAACTCGAAGAATCGTATAGTTAAAGCCTCACGTGGAGCTCGGAATTCTTTTCTGAGCATTCTGGTGCTTGATTTATTTTTCTTCCTTTCTTTTTAAGCCGTAAAATAAAAATGCTAACAAAGCACAATTTCAATCACAGCAGGAAACGAGAATTTCACTTTCCAACATTTTTTACCTGTTGCCTCTCTGAAGAGATTGTAGCTTCAAGTTCAATAACTTCCTGGCATTTTTGCATTAACTCATCTCGCAACGTACAAATCATTTGACTCCTGCAAAAGCACGCGCTTTCATTTCATTGTATGACACTACTTTTTCAATTGCTTCCTTCTACCTCAAAACTTTAGAAGCAATAAGTATTAGTGCAAAGTAACTACACTACATTGTGACATAAAAAATAAACAAATCGTAATATATGGCTAGCTGGATTTTTAAAAATAGGGGTTGACCGGTAACCGGTAACTTCTCTCAACTCCCTCTTTCTAGAATTGTTTACTTTGTGGTTTGTTCTTGTTATCATGATTACTTTTTTGTGTTTAAGAGAAACTTCAGGGTTCTTGGTCATTTAAAACATCTAACAAATCTATGCAGCTGCGAATCACCAGGTGCCTCGCATACAGCAAATGGAAGGATGGTAGAAAACAGTCCTTTTCTTCCACAGTCTGCACTTAAAAGGATATGACTTCTAACGTTCACACCATCGATTGGTCACCATGGATTTTAACCGCGTGCGCCATGAGCTCCGCTATCATCATAAATAAAATAAAATAAATAATTTAGGTCAATAAAAGCATCAGGTAACCTGCTAGAGGTCTTCGCAGCAAGGTCAGCATAGTCTTTCCTCAACTGCATCAGCTCTTCTGATAATTTCTGTGACTTAAATAACAAAAAAAAGGCGATTAATTCATAACCCTAACCCGACAAAAAAACCCTGCGAAAATAGATTACTTACTCTGAAAATCTTGTTTATGGCTACTGGCTGACACAACTGAAGCATTTTTACCTGCTCCTGTTCCTGCTGTAAATCGCGGCAATGCTCTTCAACTTCCTTTCCCTGAAGACAATACAATTAGATAAATCACGTGTCTTAAACGTCAATGAATTCTTGTTAGACCTCAGATACAGGAACAATATAGCACTAACTGGGGTGACAAAGTCTTTTCCAGATTGCCAGATGGACGAAATTAGGGTAACTACGTTTAAGAAAGAAAATAACAACGGACACATGATTTATATTGCCTCATTTCTGACAGATTAACCAAGACAGATGTCGTGAAAAGCTCTCCTAGGTTACGGTATTTTTGGAAAGGAAAAAAAGTTTTATACATCGCATTATTTGAGCTGTTATTGTTGGTGAAAGAGAGAAAAGCGATTCCGAGCTGAACCTGCTTATGATCAACAAAAAGAGGTAAATTTTTCACTTCTACTTCACGTGATAATAGTTTATGGCAGTAGCTGTAGCCCAGTATTACTCGATGCAGTAAGTCTGTTTTTAAACATTTAATGACTGGTCCCGAGGGAAACAGTTAATGTTGTTTCCCGAGAATCTCATTTTTTCCCGAGGCTGAGCCGAGGTAAATATTGAGATTCGAGGGAAACAAAATTAACTGTTTCCCGAGGGACCAGTGATTTGTTATATAGCTGGAAATTTTGAAGCTGGAAATTGATTAAACCTCGCTGTCGTCGGTCAACATTCGCGGATAGCTGACGTTAAAAATTTTGCAATGTTGCCTGCTTAGAGATTTGGCGAGAAACAGTTTCATTGTTAGATGTCATGTGAGATGAGCCTGTGGTGTCATGGCACTTGGACGTGAACTTCTTAGCTCATCTAAAGTCTTATTAGTTTTAGCGTTTTATCATTTCTTGAGTACTGAATGTAGTTCGATACAGTACTATTACGATGATACCAGCTTCTATACGGCTATTTCGACGGTCACTGAAAAGGGTTCGCCCAATAATGTGTACGATTGCCCGTGGTTTTGTGGCCGCCATCTTAGTTTCTTCGCCACGTGCAAAAGGTTTCTTCTCGTCAAGGCTGCAATATTATGCGAATTCAACCTGCAGCTTCCAACAGATCCGTTTATTTATTTCTGGTGACATCTCTTTAAATCCTGGCCCGCTTACCCGGTCTCAGTCTGCGTAGTAGAAAGATATTTCAGATCGACTTTACCCAACTCTGCATGGAGATCTCTTCTTCTAAAGGCCTTAGAATAAGTCATTTGAACGTTAATGGTCTTCTGGGCAAGATTCATGAAGTTAAGGTATTATTACTCACCTTAAAATTCGACGTTTTCTGCAATCACTGAAACCCATCTCCGATGCAGAACTAAGGATGCCGATATTTATATTCCTGACAACAAAATCGCTAGACGTGACAGGTCGGATGGTCGGAAAGGTGGAGGATCTGAAGACCTAAATGCATACGATTCGAGTGAATTGTCCTCTAATTCATCTCTAGAAGCTGCTTGGATTGATTTATCTCTCCATTCCCAGCGACTGTTGATTGGTTCAATCTACAGACCCCCTGACTGCTCTTCTTTCTTCGACGAGTTTTCCGAGGTAATGGAAATTTTATGGCGAAATCGTTCCAATATCATCTTACTGGGAGACTTCAATGTTAATTTATCATCCTCGTGTGACCTTTCTTTAAAAAGGAAATTCACGAGCCTACTTTGTAAATTCAATTTAAAGAACGTTATCGACGTCCCCACCAGAGTCACCGGCGATACATCTTCTCTGATTGAACTGATTATTACCTCTGTTCCCTCCAAGTTTTCTAGTCATGGTGCCAGTAATCCTGGAATATCCGTCCACCACCTGGTTTATGCTGCTGTAAATTTGTGAAGGATTTCTGAGAAACCTAAATTAAAGCTAGTCCGGGATTTTAAAATAGTTGACATCAAAGCCCTTCAACTTCAATTTGCTTCTGCTCCATGGTTTATCTGTGATATCTTTGATGATATTGACGACTCTGTTTGGGCATAGGATGCCCTATATAAGTACATCATCGACTAACATATTCCTCTTAGAAAGACTAACGTTAGATCAAATAGTTTGCCCTGGATGACTTCGTCCTTAAGAAAAGAGTTGAATAAGAGATATAATCTTCTCCTTAAAGCCCAAAAAACACCAAGAGGATCTACTGAGTGGTTGGCTTACAAGAAACAAAGAAACCACTGTACTAAATTGTTAAGATCAGCTGAAATTTCTTACTGGAATAGCAAACTCACCAATGCTAAATCCAGTGAAGAATTTTGGAGCTTAGTCGAATCCTTCCAAGGCAACAACAAGTGCTCTACCATTGGCCCAGTGAAATCCCCATCTGGTTCACTTCTAACCGACAATTTTTCAAAGGCAAATGAATTCAACTCCTACTTTACCAATTGCTTATTGTTTATTGTTTGGTTTGCCATAAGTTGTACAACGCAAAAAAATCTATTTATTTAATCTTTTATGGCGAGGAAGCCCAAGAGAAGCCAAAATATAAGTCAATCCAATAAATGTTCAACTCTGGTTAATACTAACAGTTCATCAGCATTGGATCTTTCCACTCAACCAGTTAATCACATCTACAAAATTAACCCTACTTTACAGTCATTTACTGTCAATAGAGAGCTCCTATCCTATTGTTTCAAGCAGTACATCAAAGTCGGAAAACCCGTTGGCCCTGATAAAACCACTGGCAAAGAACTACAAATGTTGAGTCATGTCTTCGTTGATAACTTTCTTAATATTGCCAAGAAGAGCTTTGATGATTGCATTTTTCCATCACAATGGAAGACAGCACAGGTTCTCTGTATCCATACAAAGGGAAGTACCCAAGACTCTGGAAATTACCCTCCTATTTCACTTCTACATATACCAAGTAAATTACTGGAAAGTATTGCTTGTTCTCAACCAGACTCTTTTCTGAACCAACACAATCTAGTTACTGACTCCAAAAGGGGCTTCCGAAAGGGTAGATCCTCTGAGTTGCTGCTTCTTGGCATGACAGAGAAATGGAGGCTTGCTTTAGATGAAGTAAAATCAATTGGCATTATCTTTATTGACTTCCAAAAAGCCTTTGACTGTGTCTCATCAAACTTTACCTAAAAAACTCCAAGCTTCAGGTATATGTGGTGACTCATTTGACTGGATTGTTAATTACCTTAATAACCGCTACCAGTTTGTGTCTATCAATGGTACGAATTCTGAGTAAATGAGATTAACCTCTTGCGTGCCCCAAGGTTCCTTGTTGGGCCCAGGACTTTTCAGCATCTTTACAAATGACCTGCCTTTGTCCCTTGACTCAAAGTTAGAAATGTTTGATGACGACTCCATTTCCTTTATTATTGGAAACTCCACTGACTCCATTTCAATCCAAATTCAAGATCTCTTGCATCAACTAATTACTTGGTCTAAATTTACCTCTATGTTCATCCATCCAGTCAAGTCAGAAGTAATGCTCATCTCAAAAACACCGTTCATCGGTCCAATCAGACTCATCATTATAGATAATAAGCCCATCAATTGTGTCTCCAGTTCACCTTGAGTCGAAATTGATAACAAGCTCAACTGGTCTCCTCACATCAAAATGGGTACTTCAAACTTCAACGCAAAGATTTCCAAGCTTAAACAGATGAAGACCTTCAACCGCTCCACTCTGGAATCTATCTACTTCAAAGGTATTTTGCCAAGTGTGACTTATTGTATATCCCTGTGGGGATCTTCCAACTTGTTGGCCGACCTCGAGGACTCGCACACCTGTGCTGCCAGACTGATTCACAATATCAGCATATCTACCCCAAAACATGAAGTACTCAGCATGGCTAAATGGACATCTCTACATTATATGTATGAGAGAAGACTTGCTTGTATTGCTTACCAGGCTTTTTATAAGTTAGCTCCTGATGACATTATCAATCTATTTACAAAGCACGGAACTCCATATAATTTGAGAGATAATTTAAGATTGGAACTTGTGTGTTCTAAATCAAAAGCCTTACATGATTCTTTCACTCATCGTGCTAGCATTGTTTGGAATTGCTTACCTAGCCAGTTAAAGTACAAGCCTAGTTACTCTTAATTCAAGGCCAACATTAAGAAATTCTCTAAATGCATCGACCAAATTACTTTCGGCACGAACTCTACTGCAACCAATAATAATAGTGATGAATTTATATATTATTGATATCTAGTTTATTACTAGTCATTTTGATTACTCTTCCTTGTATCCTTTATTTACATTGTCAAAGTTAACTTAATTGGAATTTATATTTTTATTTTTACATAGTCATCTTAAGCTTATCTATTTATTTATGTATTATTTGTACTTATAATTATTTATATTAGGATATGCGGTATTTTTAGATGTTAATTCATTATAGTGTAAAGTAGATAGCAGGCTCACATCAGCAATAGCTGCCATTTATTCAACCTGCTTTATCAAATAAGGATGTATGTATGTACAGCGGAACCTCGATATAACAAACCTCTATATAACGACGTCCTCGGTATAACGAACGATTTTCTTTACCCCACTAACAGTAAAATATATGGAAAAGTACCTCGATATAACGAAACCTCGTCATAGCGAACAAAAATTGCCAGTCCTTGACCTTCGTTATATCGAGGTGCCACTGTATTTATGTATGTGTCCTCGAAGTAACCAATGAGAGCGCGCGCTGCTGGCAAAAAAAATTTCCAGCGATATAACAATGGTATGAAAAATTATTATCATCACATGGGGGGAAAGCATTGTGTTGTTTTTTGGAATTGTCCATCTAAGTGCTTCTTACCTTCCTTTCAAGCTTTCCCCATACTTTACTGAATTCTGATTTGAGGGTTTTCAGTTCAAGACAAACTTCATCAAACGATTTCTTAAAAAAGCAGGAAACCAATATACACATCAGGGATGTAGCTTCCTGTGCGCCAGTACGCATATGCGTATCTCAAAAAATCGGTCAAGGGTTAGGGAAGAAAAACACATCCACCCACACACCCACCCAAAGAAAAAACAAAAAAGAAAACAAAGCAAAGAAACAAAAGGTAAAAGTAAAAAAAGGGATAGCTAAAAAATGGTTCTCTTTCCCAAGTAAAAACTAAAAATTTTAAACGTTCTTCAAGGAGCCAGCTTTCAATAATTTTGTAAATACTTCTTCGTTAAGTTTAAAACATTGTAATTAGTAATTAGCTAGCACTGTAATTAGTATTAAGTTGAGTGTTGTAATTAGTTATTGTAAATAATGTAATATAATCATTGTTTCTGAAAAGCCTCTTTGGGGAGGTAACAATAAAGGTTGTAAAGTATGTAAGTAAAAACTCTGCTTTAACTTCTGCAAATAATCAAGCTCGAGCACTGACATCAGGTATGCTCCCTTTAATTTATGAACTAAAAAACGCCCAGTAACAAACACCATGACACGCTACACGCTGACACGCTTGAGTGGAATTTTTTAGTTACACTTTCTTCTTCTGTTACTTTGTTACTATTTTCTTGGCATAATAGTAGTAACCTATCAAAGTGTCTGCGTTCTTCCCAAAAGAGGTAAATTTGCTTTAAGGACGAATGGTATCTGACGGGATTAGCAATAATTTGTTGATATTACCTTCATTATTTCTTTGGCCTTCTTCACTGCCTCTTCCTTTTCTTGTTCAAATTTCTGATTGATCTCTTCTGTGTTATTTTCTGGCGCTTGGACCGTAAACTTTGGCAATTTAACCAAAAGCACAAACTTACATCAACAATAAATCACTCGGCAAAATTTAACAGAGTGGGTTGTACGGACATAACAACTACAAAGTTCTTTGAGGATACCTTAAATATTAAATGAGATGTGACCATTTTTCGTTCTTTCCAGTGTCATTTACACTAATTAAGACAGAACATTTAGAAATCAGTGAAGTTTAATAAAGCCACCACTGGAATGATTAAAAATTGCGTAGTATTACATTGCATAGTATTAACGATTAATGGCAAATTTCTTATGTTAGTGATGTGATAGCGGACTGGGAATAAGCTGCGAGAGAGTTAAGTCAACGAACGAGACGACAGCAAAATGAAGAGAGATGATTGTTCAATAGAGAGGCCGGGTGTACTGTTATGGTACAGGGCTGGTTAGTAGTACCTTGGAAGTTAAATCTCTCCTAAGTTGCGTGTTTTCTGCTACAAGCTCAGCTTGTGTCATTTCCAGTTCACTCCTCTGAAGAAGCCACACATTCTGTTCATTCTGTAAATCACTCACTTGAGATAACAGCTCCGTTTTTTCAGATTCCAGCCTTTGAGATCAAGGATTACAAACATAAGAACCAAGAAGAACTCCACTCTCTAACTATTCGTTTCTCAAATGCGAACAAGAAAGGGATGAAATGATGAATACATGAAAACCATATTCACCAGAACTGCGGAACGCAAAGAACGCGCCCTAGACGATAAATGCGCCATTTACGCAGCAGTAAAAAGGGAAATCGCGTGATCGAAAGTGTATCGTGTTTTAAGAAACTGAAGAAGGAAAATCCTAAGTAGAGACTGGAACAAAATCACACGCTAAATCCTCAGCTTCAAAGCCACATATTTGAATTGAAGTGTGCTGCCCACTACCCGTGACAATGGTAAAGAACACCGGCCTCGGAGAAATAGCGACACTAACGCTGACGTCACCTATTGACATTAATGTGCCAAACCAGAAGCGCATTGGTTCTTGCAACAACATATTCTTTTGTTTCAGTCACTGGCA